TCCGCCAAAGGTTTTTTACTTATCTCCGCTTCTGCTTCGTAAAACATCTCATTGATTTCACGGTTAGTAGCAAACCGGCCTTTTGCGGTGATCCCATTTAACCGTTGTTGTACTATATCCCTGTGTTGCTGAGTCCAGGTTAATAATGATGGAGCCCCCGGCCGTTCAGAAGCGGATGGTATTTCGTTAGATGTCACCGAGTCAGCGTCTGTGGGAAGTGGTTGATCTTTGACACTCTTCGTGGGTGCTCTGTAAGAGTTATCCAAGGGGACTGTGAAGGTTTTGAAAAACAAATGACTATCAACATGGGAATGGAAAACAGTGCAGCAAATAACATAGAGAACCACTGACCCCATTTGGTCTTGGGTGGTCCTTTAACCTTATCGCTTGAGAAGGTTTTCACCGCTTTTTCAGAAGTTTTTTCAGATTGTGAGAGCTCCATGACAGGCTCAGTGGCGATTTTGGATGCTACCTCCACATCAGAAGCAATTGTTGGTAGTGAAACGACAGATTGAAACGATTGACATAATAAGAAAGCGATCAAACAAAAGCTTCGAAGTTGAGATGCGCGAAAGCACGGCGTTCGAATGTGATTTCCTTTGTCCATGACGGTAAAGAGACCTCGTATAAATGCTGGTAGGAAATGATGGAAAAGATGATTAGATAGCTTCTAAGAATAAATCGAAAAACGCGAAGCTAGCTACCAAGTTCCTGAATGGTACTCACAATGTAATTATTAGACTGAAGAAAAAAAATGACGTTCGAGCGGATGGACAACCCTTTCCAAAGACAAAGAGTTCCCACTTTTATGGTCAGATTTAAATCCTTAAAGACTCTGAATCTTGCTACTTCCCGCAAGGAATTGAAACATGTCAGTGTAGGTTCGCAATGCATTGAGGTCGCTTCTGAAAGATGTTCGAGACCGGGAAGACCTACACCAAAGCCGAGACAGATCAAGACCCATCACTACCTGGCACGCGTACACTTCTCTTGACCAGAAAGCCTCACCAGTGGGGAGAGACTTGAACAGTTTAATCGCTGATATCCCTTCCACACAACTGGATTATCCCTTTGTTCATGTGCTCTCCCCAAGGTTAGGTCAAACTCACAGTTTCGATCTCTAGCATATGTAAGTTGAGGTGACAAGTCTCACAAGATATTTGTTAGAGAATTAGTGCCGAGCAAGGCAATCTGTGAGGTCTCCACTTGGAAGCAAGCTGTCAGAGAGCCACGCGGGCCATCCGGACCGGTGACCATTCGGCATCCGGGTGGACCTTGAACACTCAGATCATTGCCGGGAGTGAGGACGATGAGTTTAACAGGTCTTGTTGTGAGAGCACTAGCCTTCTAGGGCTCAGCCTCAAATACGGAGCTCTTCAATCATAAGTCTCAGCGTCCGCGGATAATTATTTGACCTCATTGTCTCTTCCACTCTATTACTCATTGGGGTCTCTTTGTGGAAAGTGAATTTGGTTATTCAATTACTTTGTTTCTCTTATTCATTTCAGGATAAGTGAACAGTATGCTTTAATACTTAATGTGTACATGTAATCGGTTTGTCCTAAGCAAACCTCAAGTATCCTTCAACGAATACTCTTGGCTTCTTGGGGGGGGGGGCCCACCTAGGATGGGTGGGGGGAGATAGGACCACCTAGAGCCGTAGATGAGAGAGCGCTTCCCCGTGACTCAGGGCGACGTCCTGAGCCTGCGAACTCCCATCTACGGCGTCATGGGTCACAACAACCTCCCATTCGAGGGGTGAGGAACTTGATCGCGAGTGGGAAACTCTGTACCACTTAGGCCCCGTTTGGGAGCGGTTATTTTACCGCGGTATTTTCGTAATTGCATCAATACCACAGTGGTATGATCTTACCACGTTTGGTACCTTATTTTGCTGCAGTATTGTACCACAGTATTTAGACAATAATCTGACAATACTGTGGTATTGCGATAATTGACAAAAAGCTGTTTATGAAAAATAAATCCGCACGGTGAAAGGGGACTTCGTCAAATTTGATCTCTTCCCCTTCCCTTTGTAATTCATCGGCTCCTTCCATCCGTTCGATTACAAAACTCACTATCAACCCATCTTCAACACCTTCACACTTCAAGATGAAGACAACCACGAGTTCAATATTAGTTTGTCAATCGACCTCATCGCACTGTACCTTTATCACTTCTTCCTTCAATCCACCGTTCCCTCAATCAATCTCGTCGCTTCTCAAATTCTGTCACTCGCTTTGATAACCTTGTTTCTCCTTCAATCAATCTCATGAATATCAAAGGATATGTATCTTTTCAAATTCGCTAACAATATGAAAAAGATGATCAAGATGATTCCTTGACGAGAGAAAAGTTCCAGTTGATTGGTGATGAGGTTCACAACTTTTGATGAGTTACGATGACCGAGCAAGTGAATTAATGATGAAAGATTGTTAAGTCTGTTTGAGTGTGGATCGAGAACAAACGATGTCAGAGGTTTTGTGGGTATACATACATACATACCACAGTCAGGAGAAAATCAGCGCGAGTGGTGTTGAATTGCCAAACGATTATGACCAAAAACAGAGATTATAACTGTACCACACTACAAGTGCGGGTTTTCATCTCTACTGCATTATTGGGGCCAAAAATGCAGTACACTTTTGCAGTACATTACACTTTGTCACCGCTCCCAAACGGGGCCTTAGAGTTTGAACGGTACGGGAAGTACATGTAGATCTTTTTAATGCAAGTGTGTGTTAGAGATCTACGATTCAATAGGGTGCGTTGGCACGATATTCTTGTCTCCTGAAGGATACGTATCGTACTAGCGAGTTCTGCACTACTATATTCTCTGAGGTAAAGTTTATACGCTTTTGACTTCCATCTCCCAACTTTTACAATCTCTTCAATAGGACACTTCAGATTCCATCTTAATGATGCACCACCAACTCTAAATGAGTGACCGGTTAACTTCGTTCTCATTCTTTTTGACCATACATCCTCGAAGATTCGATGACAACGCGCTTTTGTCAAGGTGATGCGCCGATCACCACAAGGATAGGAGAAGATTGGGTTGTCGTCTGTAGCGCCCGTCTGCTCCAACAACCTCCGAACCGCCCCCACCGGATCGAGAAGAGAATGTTGATACTGACAATGGATGGTTTGAATCTTGCCTACTGCCGCTGTCTTAGCATTTCTAATCCTAATTTCTAAGAACTCGCTTTTTTGATCCCAAATTAAGTCCTTCACCTTGACTTGATCCATATTTGCAGAAGACTTCAATAACTCTCCCATTCGGGCCATACCCCAAAACGCTACCAGTGCCACTGTGTAAGCGACCTGGTTTTCCAACTTCCCGTCTGACAGAGTCTCTAACAGGCCGAATAAGTGACTGATTAAAACTGGGTTTTTCTTCTCCTTCGGTTCTTCTCAAAGCTCTAATTTCGCGGCCGCCTTCAGAATAGCTTCGATTCTGGGTGTAGCTTGATGGGGATAATCGAAATTATGGAACAGGTGCCAGGCCTTGATTCCGGAGAGGTATGTCCTAATCGTGGTCGATTTGATCGGAGGGTTGTTCGATGATGATTGTTCTGTTGACAGGCGCGGTCCCGCCCAAACTACAAACTCGCTTAAGACCTGGGGATCGATTGGCAACAACGACGATCGACTAATCCCTCTTTCCTCAGCGAACGCTACTAACTTCGCTACTCCGGCGTTGTAATGTTTTATTGTTGGGGCTGCCCAGCTACCACTTACAGCCGGTCCTTTAAACCTTGGACGGTTGATTTTGTTTTCTTACTTTTTGTATTTTCGTTTTTTGCTTTTGTAAATTTGAAAAATGCTTGAGAATCACTTTAAAGCACTGATTTTTTTTTGACAAATCATCCATGAGCATCTGATGGTATTTTCGTCAAAAAAATTTTTTTTTTTATAATACACAATCTGTAAAAAAAATTCGATTCATTTGTGTAAGGTTGTGTAACTTTCAGGCACATTTGCTGGGAGGCCTGTCACCTACGTGAGATCTTCAATGACGTGAACTACGTATGTAGTCCTATTGTTTGCTGTTCCCACCTTTGACCAGCTTTAACCTCACAATCACCCCTCCAAAATGTCCAACGAGGGCAAACACGAAGAAAATACTGTATCTTCTGACGAGTTTGCTGAAGAAGCTGCTTCTACCGACTTTGAATCCGAAGTCGAAGACGAATACGACTCCGATGTCATTATCGAATCTTCTCAAAAACCGTATCTATCACAATCCGCTTTTCTAAACGTCCATTCTATGTGGCCTGACATCCCCAAGGAGGTTGACAACAGGTCAGTGTTCTATTGTCCATACTCTAGTGACAGCATCTAAAAACTTACCAATGATTACTTTGTTGAAAGTTTCACTGCTGAGCATGCCAACCCTGCTCTTGAAGCCAAACCAGTCATCGGTGGTTCTCAGAGGTGAGTGTTGTAATCACTTTTGATATCCGTTGACCATTGTTTTTTGATGAATCTGACATGTATTTAAGCAGCGGATCAACATTGATACATCGAGACTTTGGCGTACCTGCTCAAGGATCCCATTCAGTGAGACCATCACAAGAATCTCAAGCACCTCAACGTAGAATGCGGGCGATTCCAGCTCGTCAAGCACATTTTGAGTTCAATCCAGCTTTACCAGATTTCGATTTCAAGCCGACTTTACCAGATTTCAAACATAGCGAGATACGTCATGATCACCAAGACCAATCTGAATCTTCAAGTTTCAAAAAAGAAAAGAAATCGAAAGAAGGAAAGAAATCAAAAGGAGAAAAGAAATCGAAAAAAGAAAAGAAGAAAAAAGAAAAGAAGAAAAAAGATAAGACAGCAAAACGTAAATCTCCCGAACAAAGTGGATCGGGTAAGCGTCAGAAACGCAAAGTATCTGAAGGGCCGAAGGTGAGTCTTCTGGACCTCATATTTATGTAGTGGTCAGGCTTGAAGTAACCATCTTTTTCACCGCTTGGCACAGAGTCCACTTCAACCTGAATGGCCCATGAGCCCCGCCCCAGGGCTTGGTTCATCCACTCCGCCAGACGATCTTGAGCCACGCCGAAATCTCAGGGTCAAGGCAAACTACAAATCGATGGCCGAGCCTGTTACGAGCGAAGAACTTGAAGAACTTGAAGAGTCGATAATAAGAGAAGTTCGTATTTGGGTTGGGTATGAGATCTGGCAGGAAAGAGAACAAAAAGAGAAGAGGGCGCCTTCAACATCAAAGCATGTTCAAAACGAACTGACGTATAAGAAGGTCACCAGCACACCTAAAGGTGTCAAGTATTCCCATTCATTTCTAATCGATCCTTTCAACACCAGTCCAGAAGAGTTCAAAACTTGGGGAATGATTGAGGTCAACCGATACGTCCAGGATCTGTCACTCTACCTAACCGATCCCGACCCACCCAAAGAACTGTCCTGGATTGCGACTGAACGAACACCAACACGAGCCGGACCTTTTTACAATATTGATGAGGAAGATGAATGGAGTACTTTTATTCAGATTATTCAAGATCTTGGACCAACTCACTTTGTCAATCTTCTCTTGAAGATGGCAGACCCTTCACGTATACGACAAGCCCGACAGGAGATCGA